CATACCATAGATTCCACTATAATTTATCAAGCTTAGTAACTAAGATGTGTTTTACTCTTAAAAATATGAAATTTCGAGCAGACTAAAGACACGCCCTACCCTTTTCGAAATATTGGTTCAAAAAAAAAGAAATGGCATCCAATGCTGTTAAAATTAGGCTGATAAAGCCACAAGGGGGACATTCTGAGCTTCTGATTGGTTATTCATATTGTATATAAGAGAGCATTTCCAAAAATGAAGAGATGTGGGCGGGGTGCCAGTGTTTGTTTTATTACGTAAGCAATATCTTAGCAAATAGAAAAGATAAGAGGCTCTTATTTTATATTCTAGCTTGTCAATATCTGTAATTTGAGTTTCTAATTTGTACAAAACTATAGACTTATTTTGAACCAGTGCTGCATTCAACATACCACATGACACACAAAAATCGATGTTTATTTGTGTTTTTAAATTAAGAAATTGAACACTGTATAGTACAAAAATTTGAACTATAATCTACAGTTTGATACCAAACTTATTGACATAAATTCATGAAATAGTAGTTAAATAAAATTTTGAATGCGAGTTAACAAATGAGATGACATGGCCTTTCACCCATAACACGTCTCAAAAGGGTTAAAAAAATTTTTTTAAGAATTCAATATTTTAGTACTATATTTACAAATTACATCAATAAAAATATAATCAAGCCCTCACGTACAGTCCTAGTGAAAGTCGTTTTCTGTTATAAAGAAATGGTTGTTGTACATACCGTAGTTATTTTTCTAATTGTATGAATCTGGAATACCCAAATGGTGAAATTTTTTATGAATTTTGTTTGTGGTGCCCTTCAATAGGTGGCGCCACATTATATTTATTATTTCGGCCAGATACAAAGACAATAGAAGAATTTTGTATATTAAAAACATTTTCAAGGACGATTGTATGAATAATGTGCATAACAGTCTGTTTTCTCAGTTGTAGAGGAGTTTAGTGGTTGACGATGTTTAGGCTAAACCATAAAGGACTTTCGATCGTACACAACAGAATATCAGAAATTCACGCTAAATGTTCTGTGAAAATATATATATGATTAACTGGCTGAGACAAGTTTTAACTTTATTTTTTTGTCAATTAAACTAATCATTTACTGTAAAAAATGCAATTTGTTTTGGGGGGAATTTTATATTTTGTGTGACCCCACCCTTTTTCTATGTTCTTAAAATTTATACTGAAACGTTTCTTAATGACAATGCTACTAGTTCTTGTTAGCCAATGAAAAATAAAATATTATTTTTTGTCTTTAAGTCAATCGGGTGATAAGAAAAAAGAGCCAAAGAGACGGAGCAAAAGTGGAGGAAAGAAAGGAGCTAACAGAAAACCTTTTGTTGGGAAAGGAAAGGGAAACAAGAAGGGTAAAAAGAGATAAACTGCAGCATCTAGGTGTTAAAAGTTTGTAAAAAAGAAAAAATTAATAAAAAATGAGTGTTTCATTGGGCAGATTCATTTGATGCATTAACACATACTTTACATGTTCTTCATACTATAGTTCTGGCTGTGAAAGTCAAACAAATACACAATGTTATTTACCTATTGACACATTTCATCGTTTTTAAAATGGATGAGTAGAAGCTCTTGAAAACACTTGTGTTAATGCTCAGAATTTATTACAAAATTAGCTTCTATCACTATTGTTAATCTTCAGAAATTTAGTAAATATGTTCTCATTGATGACATTTTTTTCCCCTGCCCCACCTATGTAACACGTAATCCATCCAAATGCGTTATTCCTTGTTCTGTGGCTAAATATTATAGGCTTAGATATGCTTGTAAATGTATGAAGAGATTTAGGCTTTTTTTTACTCTGTGTTTCTGCAGAGTGATTCAAAAATAACGGCTAATTTAGAACTGTCAAATGTCTATAATAATAAAACATGAGCC